TTCCATAAGGCTTTTATCACTTCCTACAATTTTATTTTCTTTCCCCAACCATATCCATTCAGTTTCATCTATATCATTCTTTCTTTATTCCTTCGATTTATACTAACCCTTAAATAACCCTTAAATACTAAACCTTAAATATCTTTTCCTTCAATAAAAACCACATCGTTGTTCCTTTTAACCTTCTTCACCAAAAACACCTCCCACTTTTCTTATAGACTTTGTATCCAGAATTCTTTTTAATTCAAAAGATGTATCATCTAGCCATTGACAATTTAGTATCCCCAGTGGTGTATTTATTTCAATGGCGATGCAATCTTATAAGCCCTTTTATTGAAAGACCAGGAGGTAACTTTCAGGCTTAGAATACATTTTTACCATGAAAACAAGAGGTGTCATTCCATGATCCCCAAAATTTTACTCCCACAAATAGGCTAAGAGAACAAAAGACTTGTGTTTCCATGGATGAGAGTGGTGTTTGTGCATATGGTGCCTCCAGAATCCCACAAATTTGTGGAGGGCTGTCAGCCACAGACCTACTAAGCCATGCCACCAGATAGGCCCTCCTGGGTTTGTTCTTTCCCAGAACTAACTAGACAAAGAGTTGAGATGCCAAAAGCCCCTTGTGGATGCAATTGAATTAGCCATCTTGAAATATGTCAAACAAGTATATTTTGGGCTGAAATATTTTGCTGTCCATCACATGAAACGTTACTAAGGCTCTTAAGTGTTAAAGTTTGTTGTAATATTTTAAATTCTTTGCAAAGTGGATATCAGTGATGGTCAGCGAGGATAGACAGGAGTCTCTTCTTGTAATAGCAATATGACTTTGGATTGATCACTTAACTTTACTTGGGGTTTAATTTTCATATCTAAAAAATAAAAGTGTTAGTCTATTTCTAAAGTCCTAGCTAGCTATATAGAGATACAAATCTTTGAGCCATGAATATTGTATTAGGATTTAATAGAGAAGAAAGGACATTTCAAGTGAAAGGAAGAGCTCGAATAAGAGAAATTCTCAAACTTTAACCTGTATTTTTAGTTAACTGGGTGTGAGAATTTAAAAGGAAATCACTCCTTGTATATTCTGGATATTAATCCTTTGTCAGATGTATATTTTGCAAATAGTTTCTCCCNGGTGTATATTTAATTCTTTAATAAATTTTGAGTTGATTTTAGTGTATGGTGAGAGGTATGAGTCTAGTTTCATTCTCCTGAAAATGGATAATCAGTTATCTCAGCACCATTTGCTGAAGAGGGAAACAACTTTACAATAAAAAAACAAGTAACCCAATTAAAAAATGGGCAAAAGAGCTAAATAGGCATTTCTCAAAGGAAGATATATGAATGGCCAACAGACACATGATAAAATGCTCAGCATCATACAGCATTCAAGAAGTGCAAATCAAAACCACACTGAGATACCATCTCACCCCAATTAGTATGGCTAAAATCCAAAAGACTGTGAATGATAAATGCTGATGAAAGGTTGCAGAGAAAAAGG